TTCGTGATAATCATGGGTCACTACTTAGAATTTTGAGCCCTGGAATTTTTTTTGTGACAAATTTATTTGTTTATTTTTGATCGCGTAGAATTAAAATATTTTATAATAATTTTTTCCCACTTATTTTTTTCCTTAAACAAATTTTATTTCAACGTTATATATATATTTACAAAATGTCGAGTCTAAATACTGAAAAAGAAAATACGTCTATTGATCACTTTGATGATAAAGAAAATATCAAATATCCTATTAATAATAGTAGTAGTAGTAGCACTCGCTTTAAAACCATTAAGTTCGACAAATTATCATCAAAAGTTGATGAAAAACAGCAACAACAGCCACAATTACTACAGCAATTATGTCCAAATAAATATATCCTTCCAAAAAACATTATGGCTTTGAATAATGGTAATATTCAAAGTAATATTTCCCAGCCTACCCAATCTACTTCAAAATTTGCACATTCTAGTGTTAATGGCAGTAATGGTAAGCGTCTTTACTCACCTATAAAAGTTGTTATTATTAAAAATGTTTTTTCAACATAAATATTTATATAAATATCTACATATTCAATAAGCTGGAATGAGTTCTGTCAGGCAACCATTAAGAGTTTTGCACGTTAATGATAATAATCAAGGAAATAATAGTTTGATTAACAATAATCCAAGTTTGATTAATAGTAATCCAAGTTTGATTAATTATGCAAATATTATCAATGCCAATAAACAGCAACAGCCTCTTCATAATATAAAGAATTTTAAAAATCATACTGAAGCTGAAGTTGTAAATGTCGTAATAGAAAGGATAATCTCTAACGATGGTGATAAAATTTCTCAAGTGGTAAATTTCTCAAATTTCAATACATTTGAATTATTACATTATTATATTTTTTAAAATTTTCTGTTTTAATTAGGTCATCAATAATGATGATGATAACCACGATGACAAGTTACATGATGTTGATTTTAATATTCCTCAATTTAATGATGATAAAGAATCAGAGTTCGAGATTGGTTATTCCAAATATAATAATGATACTTCTTCGAGTGTTGATAACACTCCAAATAAACTGGAAAAATTTCCAACCAGATATATTAAAGTATATATTCATTATTTTAATTACTATGATAAATTATTTTATTAAATATATTTTTGTTTGGTTGTTTGTTTATAGAGAAAATTATCAGATGTAGATGAAAATGAAATACAAGCTAACAATAGCGAGCTTTTTGTCCGTGATCCAACTATTAAACCGCCATATACCTATGCTTCAATGATTGGACAAGCAATTCTAACTTCTGAAAAACAAATGATGACACTGAGTGAAATTTGCAATTGGATCACAAAAGTTTATCCATATTATAGAAAGGAGCAGAAAGGATGGCAGGTAATTAATATTGATTATTTTTACAATTGAAATATTATTTATATGTGTGTGTGTGACTGTGTATAAAAATCTTACGTTATTATTATTATATCGCAGAATTCAATTCGTCACAATCTTTCTTTATATGATGTATTTGAAAAAGAAACCAACGAAAAAATTACAAAAAAAGGTGGTTATTGGAAAATACCAGAGCAATATCGTGATTGCTTTGTTAATGGAAATTATGTGCATGAAAAGATGCCAACCTCTCGTAAAAGGATAAAGAAAGTAGAGAAAGAATTAGCCGAACAAAGAGAAAATGCAATCAATAATATCACTAGTATCACTTCAGTTGAACATACTAAACAAAGAGCAACACGATTTTTAACACCACCACCATCATCTTCATCATCAGATCAAGTTCAAGCTGATGATAACAATTATGAATTAGGATTTGATAATTATCATTATAACAATGATTCAGATAATAGCACCGAAGATCTTGA